GTTGCATACGTCTGCTCTCGCGTGGTTTGCAGCCTGATATTTAAGCTGGCTTCCAAAGGAGTGTAAACTCTGAGTTCAGACCCAGATGTCTTGTCTCAACAGAAATCTGCTCTAACCAGTGAGGTGTTATACTAAATATACTAAGGATGTCTTGTCCCCCTTTATCCCTTAGCTGCAAACGTACACTGAAAGAGGTGATTTGGATTTTAAGCAAAAGCAAGAAGGGATCAGCCTTTCTCATACAGGAGGAGACCTTGAGGGAGGCAAGACATTTAGATGCTTTACAACTGTATTAGTCAGCTGGCCTAGGACATCCAGTGACTAGTGTGTGACTAGTGTGACTGCTGTGGATCTGAGTGCTTCCCACTCACCTCTCCTGATCTACTGCAGGTGATGTAGAAAATATCAAAAAAAAAAACAGATGGGGTTCGAAAGTATCTATTGCCAACAGTAACTGCTGACACTTCAGTCTGTGGTCATCAGTAGTTTAATTCAGGATACGGATGCCTTCCCACCCTTGAGAGTTTAGCTACCTGTCAGGTGTCTTTTTGGCTACTTGAATACAAACAGTAGCAGCGGTGGCTGCAGTATTGTAACCACGGAAGGAGGTGGGAATCCCTTGTGGGTTTGTGGGTCACTGACTCTGCCTTGCTCATGTTCATCCGAATGCTGCCTTGATTGATGTGATGATGCTTTTTTTTTTTTTTTTTATTAAAGCTGAATTTCACATTGTATTGCAGAGAATTGTCCTGATCAGAATCCTCGACTTAAAAACTGGAGCCCTGGAAAAGATCCTGAGAAGAGAGTTTTTATCAAAAAAGGGGATTTGTTTCGTCTGAACTCAGATGCTACAGTGCACTCTATAGTTATACAGGATGGAGGTATGAAATGGCAAGATGAACATCACTCTTCAGTTTGCTGCATAGTTTTTACTGCTGTGTTGGAAAATGTGTTGGAATTTTATATATATTGCAGCTTATTGACCAGTTCCTCTGCTCTTACTTTTCCGAGCCTGCTAGCAGGCCAGGAGTATCATTAAAAAAATGAATGAACACTGTAGAGACTTTTCAGTGGAGCACTGATGTGGTTTTCTGTAGGATTTTGTTTTCTGTAGTAAAACAAGACTTGTGTAGTAGCTTTCCTTGTACAAGATTTGATTGTCACCTGATGGTGACTGTGGTATGTTAGTAATTCTGCCAAAATGACAGAAAAAAATTAGGGATAAACAATCAAATTCTTAGAAAGATAAATCACAATTGGTAAGAGTTACTTTCCCAAATATTCTTAACCATGTATAAAAGCATAACACCTTAATTTATGGGTGTGGAAAATAAATCTGCAATTTTTCTGTTGTTCTTATTGCAGAACATAGTTCTTTGAGTCTTACCTGAATTTTGCTTTGACCTATGGAAATTTTTTTTTTTCCTTTAGGGTTACTTGTTTTTGACGATGACAAAGAAGGTTCTAAAAATATTACATTGAGAACTCGATTTATCCTGATAAAGGATGGTGGAATGCTTCATGTTGGAGCAGAGAAATGCCGCTATAAATCCAAAGCAACTATTATTTTGTATGGGAAGTCAAACGAAGGTGCTGATGTGCCAGAATTTGGCAAAAAATTTATTGGCGTGGGCCCTGAAGGAACGCTGGAGTTGCACGGGCACCAGAAGTTATCATGGACTCTTCTGTCAAAGACTTTGTATTTCTCAGGGCTGGCCTATGGTCATTATACATTTAAAAAGAATTTTTCCCGAGGACTAAATGTGAGAGTGATCGATCAGGACACAGCAGAGGTTTTAGAAGTGCTGAAGTTTGATACTCATGAATTTTCAGAAGAAAGCTTGAAGCTCCAGAACTTACTGAAAAATGGAAGTCCTGGTCGCATCATCGCTATTGCTGTAGGAGATTCAGCTGCTAAAAATCTACTGGAGGAAACCAGAGTGACTATTCAAAATCTTCTGGGAAGTAAGTTTGTCAGAGGATTGAGTTACAGGTAAATAATTTATTTTCCCTTTTGTGCTGAGTAAAGATTAGATACAGATTCTGCCGCCTTTGGGGGATTCATTAAACTTTGGCAGGGTCTGTTGTTGAAGTCTTAAGAGGATTCTCGGTGTTGTATGTAGTAATGCAGTAGTAGTACCCAGTGTGCAGCATTTTGATAGTGCAGAGTCTGATAGTTACAGGCATCTGTGTGATAGACTTTGTTACTTACTTGTAATTGCTCTCTTTCACTGTTTTTTACAGAAATTAAAACTGAGTGCAGCAAGGAATTTTTTCTTGTTCGAGTACAGATAGAAAACAGTTGCCAGGTGAAGCTTTTAATGCATATGAGTTTATGTTTGGAGGAGCAAGGAATGCCAAGCTAGAAACTTAATACAGGGAAGGGATGCTAATCCTGCATATCAAACAGCATCTTACTCATACCTGTGCGCTGTTGAAATGAAAGTACATTACCCCTCCACTGACTCAGCAAGAGAACTGATCTGCGAAAATATTTTGTTATTGAAGTACACTTGTAAGGTGTTTCTGTGTCTTTTGACCATTCTTTTCAGTTGGTCAGGGTTTGGATGGTGGGACATTAGAAGAGGTATAACAGAAAATAGTGTTATTAAAGCAGGGAACTTAAACTGCTGTGATGTTCATGTAATTGTTGCAAATTACTTTTTGCAGTGCGTGTTCTGAATGTGCTGCACAGGGTTAGCAATACACGTGAAAGGGATGCCAAGTCTCCTAACCAACTGGCACTGTGTTCTTCAGTTTCCATTAAGCTGGTGTTGTATAACCTATTTCTGTTTTCCAGGAAATCAGTCCCTTGTATTTCCGTTCTGTTCTTACCCCTTGCTATCCCCCAGCGTTTGGATTCCAGTTAGTTTCCTCCCTCTGCTGCGGCAGAGGCGGTCTGGGGCATCAGTCCGGACAACACGTGCTGGCCTCCGTTCCCGTCAGGAGCACGTTTGTCTCGGTGGCTGTGTAAGCGTGTGGTCATGGGGTGGAAAGCGCTGCCTCTGAAGCAGTTTGGTCAGAGATGCTGAGACCTGGATGTCCCATAATAAGTATGACCTCCTGAAAGCAGTGAAGCCCATGTGGTGGTCATTCAGGCGGCCAGCCCTGACCTGGCCTGGAGGTGTGGGGTTCTGGTGGTTATCTGTGTCCGTGACCTTCATGCCAGTTTGCCTGGAATGAGGAACTTCTTCAGCCTGCAGCTGGGAAGGAGCAGCCTTTCTTCCTTCTGTGCTGAACGGATTCTTGTCTGGTTTCATTAGCTGGTAGAGGCTCTGTAAGCACAGAAAATGGTCATGTTCTGCTGTGGAAGATGGGCAAGAAGCTCTTCTCAGGTGCTTACTGAGGAAAAACAGCGTTATTTTGTTAAACCTGTAAAGCTAGTGAAGGAGATTTTGGCATAGGCGTCAATACTCCATTACATCCCTCTCCCATTCTACCTCTTCCTGCAAAATAGCATGCATTAAAATATCTTTATATTTATTTTAAATGTTGGTTTGTGAAACATTCAACTTGTTTGCTGCTGCTACTGAAAAGCTGTCCCAGTATATGCTATTCCTATGAACAGGTTAACATTAAACAGTTTCATTTGGCCTTTTAATCCCAATCAATAAGAACATAACGAGAGGTCTGAAATAAAGGCAAGTGGATTGAAGGTGGTTTTAAAATCTGCCTTTGAATGAATCATTAGCAACAGACTCCAGTCCAGCTCGCTGACGCTGTTTTCATTTGGGGTGAATGATTCAACTTTAATCACGCAAAACTGTTCGGCTTTTTAATAGATGATCTCGACTGCTTCCTCTGCACACATAATTACGGCGTTACAGAGCAGTAAGGGACAGCAAAACAGTCTTGGTGGCAGCTTTCTGTGGCGTGTGGTTTGTTTTTTTCATTTCCAAAAACTTGGATGCATTCAGCAGAGCTGTAGGAAGGGGAAGTACATCCAGGACAGTTCCCGGCTCTGCGCCAGTGCTCAGCCAACTGGGTGTCCCGCTGAGGGCAGGGCCAGTGAGGGGGAAAAGCAAAAATCCTTGGTGATTTTTGTGACGGTGGTTCTGAAAAGCCTTCAGAAACATCGGAGATCTCTCACGCAAAGGTTGTGTAACAGTATGAGGTTCCTTTTCTGGGTCTGAGCATCTTGAAAGATTCAAAAGATGTTGCCAGTCCTGTACAGTGATACCAGCTGTGTCCACCCTCCCGGCCTGGTGCACGCATGGTCTCCTGGGACTCTTGGCCACTGCCCCGGGACGCCGCTTGCTGCAGCGCCGTGACGGCAGCAGACTGCTTCCTGTGCCCCAGCAACGCTTGTTTGGGAGCAGGATCCTGTCTTATGTCTGTCACTCATCTCTTGCGATTTGCTTTTGGAATAAGCGTATCTCGTTGGAATTTGTACTAAAAATGTATCTGAAAGTCTTCTCTGTCAAAAGCCTTATATTCTCCAATTTGTATAAGGGACATCCAATTATTTTAAACTATGTTGCTTTCCAATGAGGTCTGCCCCTTCTTCAGCGTTTTGAAGTTGCATTTTAAAATTAACTTGGGAGAGCAGGAAAAAGGATTATTTATGACTTCTGTGCTCGTTGTCGTGTCCTTTATCCCTTTGTGAAAAATTTTTAAGGACCATTATATTTAAACATTTACTTTTGTTTTTCACAGGCAAGCCTGGGCTTTTGTTGGTGTCATAGGTGGTGGAAATTCTTCCTGTAATGAATCGGTGAGAAACTACGAAAATCACAGCACTGGTGGGAAAGCTCTTGCTCAGAAAGAGTTTTTCACAGTGGATGGTCAGAAGTTTGTTGTGAGAGCTTACAGCGAATGGAATGATGGTAGGAAAGCATTTTGTGAAATCCTGCAGTTGGGGAAGAAGTAAAAAATACTGTGTATGCTTTTTTTCACATTAGCTAGAGATAAAGTGTCTTATAAAAGGCTGAAACAGACTTTTTTCTTTTAGTAATTTGTCGGTCATGTATAGTTTAAATCTGAGCTTCTGGGATGATGATTATGATCCTAAAAGGAAGACTTGGTAGAAGCCAAGAGAAATGTTTTATTTTTGTTATAATCTTCTGTTGCTGAACTTTAGGCAGCTTCTCACATAGAAAATTGAATCTGTGGTATAGAGAGCCTGGAAGACCTACCTCTCATTTGCTTTTGTCCTTTATTAATTTTTGTGTTTAAGATATCTTTGACCTTAGTTCTGCTTTTTATGGGCAGTCATCTTTTTCTGTTTGTAGAATTACTAAGCAATACTGCATTTACCTCAGAATAATTTTTTTAAGGTAGTTGGATATTTATTTGTTAAGTAATTGAGCTAGTTGGTAGTACTTCTTCACTGTTCATCATAGCCCTGTGAAAATGTATGGACTATATATAGTAAAAAAAAAAAAAACAATCACCAAATCTCCACCATGTTTTCCTTGCTGGTCCTGTACAGTTAAGATCAGGAGTAAGCAAGAGCTGCTGAACTTATGCAAATCCATCACCAGGCAGTGAAATAGCATGTGTGTGTCATTTAGCTTGCCAAACTGTTCTATTAGTTGTGAGTAAAAAGGAAAGTCCCCCCTACTTTGTTTTGCCATGTCCTTGATTGCATCTGTAGAGCTTCAAATGGCAGAAAAACATCACTTGAAATAAGTAGAGGTAGCTGAAACTACAAATTGTTGCCATATATTAGTGTTCGGGGTTTTTTTAATTAATAGATTTTTTCCTGTCACTATTAGTTCCACCTTTTCTATTTGTTTTATTTGAGATCCACCAAATAAGCAGGCTTTAATGGTCTTTCACACTGGCATGTTTCAGCGCAGGATTGTACTTTAGAGGGCTTTAGATCTTGTGAAATCTCATATATTTCTTTTTTTTCTTGGTGATGGTTTCATGTAAAGGCACATATAATCTTATTTTGCGTTTACTTTTTTTTAACTAGGTGTCCCAATTTCAGGCTTTGAGGTAGAAGCTGTAGGTGGAGTGATACTGAATCTTCTGGATGATGTTAGTAGTTGGGAGCCGGGAGACCGGATTGTGGTTGCAAGCACAGATTATTCAATGTATCAGACTGAGGAATTCACCCTCCTTCCCTGCCCAGAGTGCACTAAGCATCAAGTCAAAGTCAAAGGTATGAAACCTGTCACCATTTGAAGATTCTTGTGAAATACATACTCATGGTAGGAGACCCCAGATGGTCCCTTTTGGTGAGAGCAGTAAAGAACTGCCTGTTTGCCTATCTCTGTATTGCTTCGTTGCTGTATACAGGAACGTGTACTTCTCCTTTCTGTAAAATCGCTCTGTATAACGTCAGGTCTGCCTCACAACTTACCATACTAACTTTTCTTTCTCCTTTCTTCCCAGGCTCATTGAACGCTTTAGTTTTCTTCCAAGAGGATTATGCTTGTTGTCTTTTCTTGGCTCCTTTCTGTCTTTTCACTAGTTCTTTTTGTATGTGCTTGGATGGCTGTGTGGTCATTACCATTTCCTTTGCCTTTAGTGCCCTTCCCATCTTTTGAAGTGTTATCATTATAATTTTTTATGTTGCTTTTAAAAAAGGAGAAAGGAAAAAGAAAACAGCAATCTTTAAACATGTCTCTTTTTTTCAATTTTTTTTTTTTTTAATATTTCCTCAGTTCCCCTTCCACCCCCCCAGCAAAATGCTTATGAAGTAAGTGGCACTTCCAAGCCTTTGCTCACACAGGATATCCCTGAGTAGTTCCAATCTGTTTTTCCTTTGGGCGTGATGCATGCAAAATGGTCATGCATGTTGTTGACCGTTTCCTCCTTTATTATCTGAGTCATTCTGCTTGACTTCACAAGAGCCTCCCGTGGGACTGGCTTGCCCGCTCTGATGGCGTCTGTGTTTCCCGTCTGCCACTCCCCGCCCGCTGCGTGCCAGTGCCCTCCTCCCTGGTGGTCCGCCAGCCTCAGGTCTTCACCTTCCCCTCCCGCTCCCTTCCGCTGGGGTGCGGTGCCAGTTCGTAGCACAAACTAACTGGTGTTATTTTTGCAGTGTCAACTTACAGCAGCTGCTCGTCAGGGCCTACTTTTGTCCCATTCACCTCTGTACGGTGCAACTTCCTCTTCTTCAAACCACTCTTCTCGTCTCTCTTCTTGTCTCTTCCTCTGTTCTTGAAAGTTTGCTTTCAAGCGAAGTGAACGCCCTCAAACTCTCCCATTCCCCTGTGTCTTACGGGACTTCCAGTTCGCATGTGCACTTTGCAGTGCAGTTTGCATCCCACGGCATTCGTTAGGATCGGTCAGATATGTTTTACTGCATTGTGAAGCCCCAGAACTGGAAGAAGCTTCTCAAAGTTCACCTTCAGGGTGCGTGAAGCTGCAGAGCTGATTTAGTGCCATTGAGCATGACACTTCCTGGCCTTTGTTCTTAAGTGTCTCGCGTTGCGTGTGTTACGGGGCACAGTGTTTTAAAGAGCAAGGTTAACTTGAAGGTTGCAGTACAAACTTTAAGAAGGCTTTTGGCACCACGGGATAGTGTATGTGCAGTCTGTTTCATTTTGGAAATCATGTACTGTGAAAAAGCAGCTGCTTTTAAAGGATGAAAGAAGAATTTTTTTACAAGTTTAGAATACAGCATAAAATACAAAATCTTGGCTTTTATTTTAAAATAAATACTGTCTGGACTATATATAGATCTTCAAAAGACGTTAAAGGAGATGAACTGTGCCATATTGTTCCCCTCCACCCACCCAATATCAAGTTTCCTTTGTCATAGTAATGGGTACTGTTAAAAAATTCCCAAACCACCCTATGTGTTTGTTCCACAAAGAATGAATTTTCTGTGCAATGGCAAACTTGACATGCTGAAGAACTTGCCGTCTTTTGAAATTATTTCTTGCATATTTTGCTAAGATTTTGGTCCCTTTGTAGTAGGAAAACTAGAAAGTGTTGTTTCCTAGGAGGCCTAGTTGCTCTTTCATTGCTTGATTTATGTATGCTAGTCAAATATAGGGAAAAACAATAGGTTTTTTCTCCTTCAAGGAGAAGAGTGCAGTTCCACTTACAGATATCTGCTGTCTTTTTAAATCCTCAACAACAGGTACAGAATTACTTGGTTCTGCTTCATATTGTGGTGATGACCAGTTTAGGCTTGTATCCTTTTCTAAGCTTTTAAAGGATAGTGATAGTCTATATTCAGGGTATCAATAAATGGAAAAAAAAAAGGGGGGGAGAGGAATATTTTTTAAAAATAAACACATAAATACCTTTTTTTTTAAGGTTTACAGGACCAGATAATTTTCTTAGTTTGTATAGACAAACAAGAGATTGATTGTTTCTTTGGAAGAACCAGAGTATCTTGTTTTCCTAATTTTACTTTATGTGTTCTCAGAATAGCTATCTAGGAAAGAGCAAATTTAGTTAGGACAGCAAATCTTTTTTTTTTTTTTTTTTCCCCCCCACGGGGGAATGGGATGAATACAGTACATTGTAAAGGTGTTTTGGCCTCATTTTTAGTTCTTAATTTTTCTTCAGAACAGATTAAGCAGCCAGTGTCTCTTTTTTTTTTTCTTTTAAAGCAAATCTACATCTATGTTTCATTAAAACTTTTCTAGATACATTGGATTCATTTAAATTTTTCTTTGTTTTTTAACCATTCTATTCACAAACTCTTGGACTGAAATTAAGATGCACTTGCAAATAAAATGTGGGGATTTGTTTAGGATTAGTTGTCTTACTAAAATGAAAAATACATTGATGGCACTTCGTTTTGGAAGGAAACATGCAGTAGTATACTTGATTTGTCATCCTGCAAGATGCTTCACTATCATTGAATCAACTGCAGTCTGGAAGCGGGCTATTTGCTTTGTGTTAGCTGGGTTAGTGTTTTTCATCTAAAAATTATGTGCTTTTTCTGTGCCTTAGCATAAGAAAAGCTAAGGGAGAACAGCATGTTAAAAGTGTCAGAATGCATGAGGTTTGTTGCAACAATTAACCGTGCTTGTATAAAATAAGTTGGTTTTGTTTTTAATCAATGATAACTCTTCCCTCCCCCCTCCCCCCCCCAACTTTTTTTGGACAGAAAATCCTCAGTTTCCTCATATAGGAGAAGTTATTGATGGAATGGACATGAGAGCAGAAGTCGGAGTTCTTACGAGGAACATCTTAATCAAGGGGGAGACAGAAAATACCTGCTATCGTGAAAAGGAGTGTCAGTTCTTCAACTATGATACATTTGGTGGACATATCAAGGTCTGAAAAACTTTTTAAAGTAGCTTTCTGTCATGTAAAAGCATATTGAGGACAAAAAGATTAATGCTAAACTTGGAGGGATTTGAAAACTTAAAGAACATCAATTCATACAATTGCTTTGTGTAGAAATTATTTCATTCTCAGCTTTCTCAAAATTAGATTTAACTCATCAAGATTTAGTCTGCAGAATTGGAGGAAAGTATAACAATGCATGAAATGCTGTAGAAATATCCAGCATATATTGCAATGTCGTATGGCAGGGATTAAACCTTTCAAGCGACATCCATGCATGTGCATCCTGTAATATTAGAGAATAAAGTTTGATCTCCCTTGTCTCTATCTTCCCTCCTTTCACTGCCTTTCTCCCTTCCCAAATGGTGAGCATTGAATCCTAGAGTTCTGTCTCATCTGAAATTTGGCACTAGAGGCATGGAGAGGAAAAAACCTGACTTGGACCATGGTGGTTTGTTTTTGTTTTGTTTTGTTTTGTTTTTTAATTGAGAGTTCTAACCTTATGTAAAGGAAACTCCTAATTTCTTGTATTACCATAAGCATAAAGAAAGCTGAGGGAAAGTAGTGTTATAGAAACTAATACTTAAACTCATATTCACTTACATTTTTAGATGAAAGGATTGAGCAGCACTGTATTAGCTCTTCACTGCCACTGGAGAAGTTTGAGTCCTCGTATTTTAAATGCAAATTTATTTGTGCTCATTATGTGCTGGTCACAGTTTAAATCTCTCTTTCTAATATATTTGGATGCAGATAGTGGAGGACATAATAGTGGGAAAGAAAATATGCCCTTTCAAAAGGCATCTTTTGTTTTGTGGAAGAGAAGTAGGTGGGCTCAAGGCACTCTTTTGTGTTTAAGGTAACGTAATGAAAGAAGATAATGACAAGCTGTGAATCTCACAAAGCAAAGCGTGACCTTGATTGCCACAATGGTGCAAATACAGCAGACCCCTCAGACGTCTGGAAGATAGAACAGAAAACAAACATTTTGAGTCATCAAAGCTGTTAAACTGTTCCCAGGAGACTGTTGAGAGCAGCTGAGTGTCTGCTGCCAAACCTAGACTTCAGCACTAAAAGCATTTTCAGCTTACGTTAATCTTGCGTGCTCAAGCAGAGGGATCCTAGCACTAGCAGGTGTTCATGGCCTTGGGGGTTTTGGTCATCCTGCATTTTCTACTGATCACTGGGACAGTAGCATAAAGGAGGCTTAGTGGCAGTGAGGGGAGGTGTTGGTTTGTAGTCTCATGACTGCGTTAAGTGCTTTTAAATGTTAAGAGGCAGAGATCTCAGGATGCCTCTTTTTCCCTCAGGATGCCATCCCTCTGTATTTTAGACATACAATAGAGTGCAGTTAGAGAAGGGGGGAAAAATTCATGTTACTAATTTCCCTAGAGGACAAAGTACATCTGAAAATGTTATTTTTGGTAAATACTCAGTACAGGTGAGTTCATGAAATAACAAAAAAAGCTTTTTCTCAGCTTAGCTCCTTGCAGTTTGGCTGTTGCACTTGGTTTCTGTTTTTGTAGCAGGTTAGCTGGAAAAAGATACTTCTGCTTTCCTGTGTTACTGGTACAGACCTGTTATGTTTTTACTTTGTATTATGTAGTGTTACTGCAAAGTTGTATGATTCTGAAGGCAATTTCATATCTTCCTTTAATAACGAAGTTCCTCTGGAGTGCTGTGTCCAGTTTTGGGTTCCCATTGTAAAGATGATGTAAATGCAGTGGGGTGTGTCCAGCGAAGATGGGCTGCGAGACTATGTGACCATGAGTAGGGATGAGCTGAGAGAACAAGGTTTATTTGGTGTGGGGAAGGTAGAGAGGAGGGATCTCGTTGCTGTCTTCAGGCACTGGGGAGGGTTCAGAGAAGTGAGAGCAATTCTTGGAGGTGCACGGTGATAGAACAAGAGGCCATGGGACCAAGCTTCAACAAGGCAAATTCTGCTTGGATACCAGGAAAATTAAAGGGAAGAACCAATTGACATTATATGACCATCTCTGTGGCTGGAGGTATTCCTTGGGCAATGTGCTGAGCTGTCCTTAAACTGATCCTGTGCTGAGCTGGTGATTGGACCAGGTATCTCAACAGGTTCCTTTGAATCTGTATTATTCCGTTACTTTATTCAACTGAGCTTGTCTCAGGTGGGCTACACTGGTACAGCTTCAGTATAGACAGGCCCTGATGTGGGTGACATCCCATTTATTTGGACAGTATGTAGTTATACGTAAAGAATATTTGACATGCCAGCTGGTAAAGACCAAACAGTAAGGTGTGACAACATGTCTGGTGAAAATTGCTCAGTTTTAGCCACATAGAGATTTAGCTTTTCCACTTATTTATGAAGGATACTGTTTTGTAAGGCAGGATATAGAGCAAAACAACAGTAATGTTTGTTCTAACTTTCATTGTGTTGGCCTGTGGTGACTGTGTGCATCTAACTCCTGTACATCTGATAGAGATGAAGTATTTACTTAAATTTCCGTTTGTTCAAAAGAAAACAGTAGGTTATTCATTCTGGAATAATAACCACTTCTCATTATATTTTTAGATTTTTAAGAATTTTACATCTGTTCATCTCTCCTATGTGGAATTGAAGCAAATGGGCCAGCAGCAGATTGGAAGTTACCCTGTTCACTTTCACCTTTGTGGGGATGTGGATGAAAAAGGAGGTTATAGTTTTAAGACTTACCTGGAAGGTCTTTCAATTCATCACTGTTTTTCCAGATGCGTGACTGTTCATGGAACTAATGGCTTGCTGGTAGGTGCAAGGAGAGTAAAACATACTGCGTTGAAATAAATGTTATAAAGAGCATTTAAAGCAAAAATAGTCCCCTCCCATTTTTGAGGTTTAATGGTCAGCAATTTTTTTTTATTGTAACGCATAAATGAACAAGTGCAAATAGTAACTTACTTTTAACAGATCTCACCATTCTATTGCTTCAGATTCTTCCAGGAAGCTAAGTTCTGTAGACGTAGTAGTGTGTTTGTAAGGGATAAATAAAACTGTATGCCTGAATCATCTGCACTGCTGATACCGAAGCTTCACTCGGCAACTGTGCCAAGATAGTAAAACTAAATGGTACTTGTCAAATAAATCTCAGTAAATGCTATTGCTACTGACATAATGAACTTGTATTTCTGCAGATAAAGGACACCATTGGCTATGATACACTAGGTCACTGTTTCTTCACAGAAGACGGCATTGAGCAGAGGAATACTTTGTTCCACAACCTTGGGCTAGTCACGAAACCAGGCACTCTTCTTCCTACGGATAGAAACAGCAGCATGTGTATTAGTATTAGGGATAAAGTGTATGGAAGTTATGTCCCAGTGCCAGCCACAGACTGCATGTGAGTATTTCACAGAGAAAAAGTGAAACCAAACCAGCTGCAGCAGTTAAACTGCCTGACAACATACAGATGAGAACGTTTTTATGTATAATTTAATGAATGCAGACACCTTAAATGTAGTCCAAATAGTACTAGTTATTGAAAAAAAAAAAAAAAAATTAGGATTTAGTGTTTTATTAAAGAGAAAAACAAGTTGTTCGTAGGAAGATTGTTGCTTCTTGCGGTACTTGTTCAATAGACTTTTAAAGCTTCATACTTCTGTGTAAAGGCATGCACATTCTCGAGTTGTCACTACTAATTCTTCAGCATACCACTAATCTATTGTAGAAGTTTATTATTTTATGGCATATCTGAACAACATTAAATAAAATACTGTGTATTGAACTTAAAAAAAAAAATAAGCATTTTTGACTTCTAAATGTGGGGAGGTTGTGATTTTTATTTCATATGTGAAGTAGTGAATTCAGACACCTATTTAGCTTTTTCTGATGTGCTTGTTACAAAGGAGAGGTATTTTTGTAGGAGCCAAAGCTTTTCCATAATAACTTACTTCTGAATAATATTTCAGGGCAGTTTCGACATTCTGGATTTCTCATCCCAACAATCATCTTATAAATAATGCAGCAGCAGGTTCACAGGTGAGGTGTATGGACGTAACTCAACACAAACTACTCACGCTACTGGTATTTGTAAAACCTGTAACATTTACGCTGCCAAAAATACATACATTTTTATATACGAATATGTTCTTTTTATGTTTGGCAGCATATTGGCATTACAAATGCAGGGTTTGTCTAGATGTGCATACCAAATATCTTTGTTCTGTCTGGAACAGAGGCAATCTCTTCCTCTTTGTGGTTAACAGACCTGACAGTAGTGTCAATATGCATATGTAGAAATAAATCCTTTTATTTCCGAAGAACTAGTGCCTTTCATATTCAGGCTTCTGTATTTTCTGTAGGTTGTCATGAGTTTACTGTGTGACTGCTCTGCGAGATTTGTCTTCATAGCTGTGGTCATTGGAACAAAAAATGACTACAAAAAATGTTCGTTGTGTAAGAAACAGCTAAAACACTTCTATTGTTAGTCATTTGTTTCCCATCAGTGACTGCTGATATGTTTTTACTTGTTGTGAATCTTGTATTAGTGCACATCTTGTGACAGCTGCTTGCAAAGTAAAGCTGAAATAGTCAGTACAGGTTGTGGAGGAGGGGGCTGGAGTCTGTTCTACTTCTACATTGGATTAGATGTGCATGGTTTTGAGTGGATTTTTCGGAAGAGATCAGTGGGAATGGAAAACAGGAAAGATTGTTGTTGGTGTTGTAAAGGCTTCAGTGCTGTAAGTAGAATATGAGTTTGTGTCAGTGTATTCTTAGGCACAGATTACCTAATAAACTGTTATTAATAGAACAGGATTCAAAATATTTAAATGAGTTGAAATACGTAGAGTATTAAAAAAAAATCATTAGAACAGATCTGGACACACTTATTGAATCAAATCAATTCTTTT